AGTTACTCCCCGAGCGATGGGCAGGTCTGAGCCGCTGCAGCCTGGGGGGATCCCCTGGCCCCCCAGCTCCGCAGCGAGGGTGCACGGCTGCTCTTAACTGGGCGGCGAGGCCCACGGCACACACCACGCGGCGTCACCGCTGCAGTGCCGCACGTCCCCTGCCCGGGGTTCACCCTGGAGCCATCAGCTCAGCCCCCTCCCAGCGCTCCGAAGCTCAGCCCAGCTCCTGTCCTGCAGGCACGCCGCTCTCGGAGGGGTCCCCTGGAGTCTGAAGATGTGTTTCAGCCCTTCATTTAACCAAGCCCACCCAGGACCATCCCCAGCCCGACCCCCCACCTCTTCGCTCCGCACAGCGACTACACGCACGTCCGCAGTGGGTTTCCTCCCGGGTCGCCCGCGAGGCAGATGAGAGCAACTGTTGTGCTCTAACGCTGCGTATGTGTGAACCTCCAAGAAACGCCTTTGGAAGCGGCAGGGACAACGCTGTGGGTTTTCATACCGACACGAGAATCTGCCAAGGACCCGTCTCCGCAGACGCCGGCTGCTTCGCAAGAGCATCTGGCGCAGAGTCTGCACAGGACAGATGGAGACGGGAGCTGTTTATTCGCACAGAAGCAGTCTGGCTCCCGCCCATTTGGTAGGTGTTCTCAGCAAATTTTGGTGGTGTCTCAAATTCCTTACCCAGGGCTTTAAAGCTTTTGCCTCTGGCCAAGCACGGGCTGAAGTCACTCCAGCTCTTTCCAGGACTCTCTGGGAAACGCGTGCGCGGTCCCTGATGCCAAAGGCTGCTGGCAGGAGAAGCGGAGCGACACCCGGTCACTACACTGGAGTGCGGCGGTGGCACCGGAGCGGCCCCGGCACTGCTCAGGGTCCGGACCAGTGACAAACAGATTGTACCACGTCGGACTCCCAGAGCGACCAGACCCACCAAACCCGACCTGGGCCACCGCGCGGCACATCCGCTGGCCCTGGAGACAGCCACACTGCGGCTGCACCCCCGAGGGTCCCCCTTCTCCCCGTCCCCTTCCCGCACTGCCGAGCCCGGCCCCTCCATCCCGCCCAGGCACTGCTTAAAAGGAAAAACACAAGGTAAGCAACTCAGGTTTGTCCCAAAAGCAGATGTTAGAAAGCCCTCTCTGTGGTTGCAAGGCTGCAGAGAGCTCAGAGTGCAAAGGGAACGAAGGTATGCGATGCCGGTTTGAAAAGACCAGGGATTCGCTATTTATTATTTTAGGACCCCTGCTTATAATTTATTCTGTCATTGCAAAAAAAAGTCCTTTTAGATATCTGTGTACTTTAAACACTAGGAAAATTAAGATAGACCTTTTTAATATATATATAGTTATATATATATTTATATATATACACACATACACATATATACACAATGATGCATTTAAAAGTTACTATTTCCTCAGTGATTACAGTATCATTCTCTAAATCTCTTGCTCTTGAAATGATCATGACTTGATGCCACTGCTAAAAATATTTTGTGCTGTGCGCAAGGAATACCAACAAGACTCCGCCGGGCATTTCAGGGTTTGCCACGGAGCTAGGAAGATGCACTGCCTCTCCTGCATTCATTCTCAAGGCTCCAAAACAACAAAAATCAGCTATTTTTGCAGAGTATTCAGTAAAAGCTGCTGGGTACCATTGCGCAAAGGCGATGTGACATTTGAGCTCAAGAGAAGATCTGCCTTCATCTCCCTAAAACAAAAGAATAACAAAACCTTGGAAAAAACCTCAACACAATTTGGGATTTCAGGTGGCCCCAAGATTTTAAACTCCGGCCAATTCAGACGGATGGTGGGGGGACGAGGGAGGGAGAGGCGTGGGACTGGCATGCCTTCCTGAAGGTTCCCGTTTCCTCTTCCCAGCATGGAGCAGGTCACCATCCACCAGCAGCCACCCGGCCTCAGCGGTGACCGGTGATGGGGAAAGGCGGTGTCGAGCCGGCGGTCGGGGCTGCCCGCAGGACCTGTCTCCCTGCCCGCAGGGCTCTGCCTTCGCCGGCCACTTCTGCTCACTTCACCTGTGCCACGATGAAGCCGGACTCCCTCATGCTCTCATAGTACTCGATGGCCAACGCAAAGTCAAACTCGTTGATGGCCGGCCCGTCGATGGCGATCTTCATGAGGTCGGAGAGCCCCTCGTCCTTCGCGCAGCGCGACCGTCCACGCTTCAGCAGCTCCCGGCCCCGGCTGATCTTCTCAGTGAGGACCGAGCCCAGCGGCAAGGCCAGGGCGATGGCCGCAAGGACAGCAAAGTCCGGGAAGAGCTCATGCATCTCCGAGTTGCTGTAGACCAGCTTGATGCAGAGGTCCTTGAAGGAGAGCTGGCTGAGGCTGAAGACGATCCGCTTGAAGAGGGGGAAATCGCTCAGGGCCCTCTCACTTACCACCACCCGGGAGTAAGCCTGCAGGAGGAAATTCAGCTCGCTGACCCCATAGCTGCCAATGTCCTCCAAAGACTGGGGGTAGCACTTGGGGTTGAAGATGGCTGAGAAGGAGCTGATAGCCTCCAGGACGCTACTGGGGAACCTGTCCAGCAGGTTGCCCCGCACGGTCTCCAGGTAGTTCTCCTTCAGCCGCTCAAAGTGCTTCAGGTGCACCTTGGAGCAGTTGGCCAACTCGACACCCTTGTAGTAGAGGCGGCTCTCACCCTCCCGGTCATCCCGTGGGTGCTCGTTCATCTCGTTGAGGAAATCCTGGAGGTTCTGGCCACTGGTGCTCTTCTGGGCCTGCAGGGTGGTAGCCGTGGCAGAGACGACGGGCTTCAGGATGGAGAGGTCAAAGTCCTCGATCTGGAAGAAGCGGCTGAGTTTCTGGAAGATGGGGAGGACATCCAGGAGGATCTTGGTGAAGGCCACAAACTGGAACTTCTTGAGCTCTTCGCAGAGGCCATGGGCCACAGGTGACCGCTCCGCCTCTCTCTCCAGCAGCAGCACCAGCGTGGGCCATGAGGAATCAATGGCTTCCACAGCTGGGAAAATAGAAGTCCAGTGGATGGCTTTGGGGCTCCCAAGGTCTATCTCACAGAGGTCCAGGACACTCTGCAGCTCCTGCAGGCCATTGCTTTCCCCCCTGAAGCTGGAGTAGAGCCTGTACACAGCGTCCACAGTGGTCTCGTACTTCTGGAGGTACTCGATGTTGACGATGCTCTCAGCCGGCAGCAGGGAGCTCCCGTGGGACAGGCAGTGCATCTCCATGAGGAGCGGGCAGAGGGAGGTCAGCGCGGTCCCCACCCCGCTCAGCCGCTCGGCCATCAGCGAGGCGCTGTCGGCGCTGAGCCAGGTGATCTTCATGGTGGGGATGCCGAAGGAGCGCATCACCTCGCCCACCTTGCCCGCCACCGTGGAGGCCTCGCCGGCGGGCAGCTCGAAGCTCCCCAGGAAGGTGGCGGAGGTCTGCCCGTTGCAGGGGGAGACGGTGGTGGTGAACATGGCGAGGCTGCGGTGCTCCAGGATGTCCACCGTCTCGTCCACCACCAGCCCAACAAACGGCGAGGCTTTTATCCTGTGCCTGTCCTCGTTGTGCAGGACTTTGGCGATG